CGGTGGACGAGGGAGACCGAGGAAGTCGAGGGGGCCGATGAGCGCACCCTCCTCGTCCTGTACCAGGGAGCCCTCCGCAGCTCCCCGTACGCCAGAAGCCTCATCACCGATCCTCCGAGGTCGTACACAAAGGCGCTCCATCGCGGGAGCTTGTACGTCGACACCGACGAGCTCCACAACCACAAGAAAGAGGGAGGCCATCCCTCCAAGAAGACAAATCCTTCGCCGGCCCCGGGTCCATCCCCGGCTGGCCAGGGTGCCCAGGGCCGTCACGGCTCTGGTGGACAAAGTAAGAAAGGCCGTCACCGGCGGCCGAGGTTGGAACGGCCGGGGTCCCTCTCACCCACCTGGTCAGCACCATCCTCGACTACGCCGAGAAGCATGGCCTCATTGAGCGGGCTCCTCGGCCGGCCGAGGAGGTCCTCGCCATCCAGCAGGGCGTCACATACTGCCGGTTCCACAAGAACTCCTCCCACAACACCGACGAATGCATCACGCTGAAAAAAGCCATCGAGCGCCTTATTCGTCAGGGGGAACTCTCCCAATTTGTTAAAGGTGGCCCGCACAAAAATACGTGGGTAAACACCGGCAAACCTGGGGGCGAACCCTCTACGAAGAAGCGGGAGATTGGCAGGCTCAGCGACGACGAGGACTTTGAAGAGCCTCCACCCAAGAAGAACCATATTCACCTCATCGTAGGTGGGAATACTGGGGGGGACTCCGTCACCAAGAGAAAGAAGTGGGCCCAATCCCTCTACATTGGAGAGGTGTCCCACGTCCCCCCCAGCCGAAGAAGCAACGAACGGAGGCGATCACCTTCACCGACAAGGATTTGCCTCCGGGTACGGAATCACATAGGGACGCCCTCGTGATCCGGTGTGAGATCGGTGACTCCATCATTCACCGCACTTACATCGATACGGGGAGCTCCGTCAACGTGATGTACCTGGATACCTTCAGGCAACTGAAGCTGGATAGAGCTCTTCTGAAGCCGATCAAGACACCGTTGTCCGGCTTCACCGAGGACTCTATCGACACCGAGGGCACGATAGTCCTCCCCGTGGAGGTCGGCGACGGCCCCCACTGCGCCAAAATTGACATGGAGTTCATGGTGGTCAACCTCCAGTGCGCCCACAACCTGATCTTAGGGCGGCCAGCGCTGGAGGACTTGGAGGCCATCATCTCCATGAAGCACTTATGTCTGAAGTTCCCCACCAATGGCGGCATCGGCTGCGCCAGAGGAAACCAGAGGATAGCCAGAGCGTGCTACCTCAAGCTAACGAGGCCGGCCGAGAGGGAAGGACAGAGGATAGACACCATCACGGCAGCTGTTGCCAAGGACGAGGAGAGGCCGCATGCTGAACCGGCCGAGGAGTTCGAGGAAGTCCCTCTGGATACCTCCCGGCCGGAGCGGGTCCTCAGAATCGGGAAGCAGCTCCCACAGGACCAGCGGGACGCCATTCTCCACGTCCTACGGACATACGCCGTTATCTTCGCGTGGGGCCCGGACGACATGCCAGGCATCGCCGTATGTCCCATTAGAAGCTTCACATTTCTATTTTAGGAAACAATTAACAATTTTAAGTGACAAATTAATCATTAGGTATTAAAAATAATACATTTATAACATCACAGTTATCAATACTAACTACAATACAAGATATATCTATTAAAATTATTTCTCAAAATATACTCGAAGTACTTTATTTAATTATTGCCTAAATAACCGTGTCATTTTGCTATGGGAACCTTCTAACGGGACAGAGGTAGTATAAAGATAATAAGGGGCAAATATGAATTATCATCTATATATGATATCACTCTACTTGAGGGTCTTATGAATTAAAACATTGATTATATTCAGTGTGGTTGTCATTGTACTTTTCAAATGCTTCAGAGTACTGACCTCCCCTTCACGTGGAGGCCACCTAACAGTTTCAGGTATATATTTAGCTTGCTACCAATACTCGTTGCTTCGAGGAAGTATCTAGGATCGAAGACGTGGTTCATGCTTCCTCCGTTTCTGTTTTAAAAATAATTACAATAATGCTCATGGATATTATTTTCTGAATAATTATTTGGGGGCTTGTATGCCTAAGTTTGCCAAGTGTGGCTTGAACACTTGTATTAATGTTTCTGCTGCTTTAATAAATATTTCACATTATGTTTGTTTATGGATGTACTACGTGTGAATGATATTCCAGACGCCTTGTATAGTATGGAGGTGTTGGACTGCGGTTGACTATTCGTACTGTACGATGGGTTGGTGACGTGTCCGAGTAGGTCCAGGGCGTGACAGTTAAGGATACTTATGACAAAACTATCACAACTTTAGATCAAGTCCCCAAACAGAAACGACCAACCACAAAGTTAATTATATGGTCTCCGACGTCCCAAACCTAGCCATAGAAAACAGGCCAAATATCCTCTCCTAGTCCATGTTCAATGCCAATACTGTCTATGAATGGGACATAGATAGCATGTCTCAATATAACATCCTTAGTCTTGTACAACAAATGACTATGGCATCCAATGCCAACAAAACCCAAACAAATACACCTGATGGAGCCATTGCTGAACTCCTAATTCCGGGATTTTCAGGTCAACTAAAAGGTTGGTGGGATTACCATCTCACTGATGATCAACAATCTGAAATCCTAAACACAATACAAACCAGTGAAGAGGGAATTCCCATCATCGACGACATAGGAAACCCAATACCTGATGTTGTAGCAACATTAATCCACGCAATAAGTCTACACTTTTTTTAGAGATATTTTTATTGTGATCGATGAATTAATTATTAGTTGTCTCTTAGTAGTATTCATTTCAGTACTCATTAAAATAGCTCTTATTAGAAAAGGGTGCAAGGAATATATTTGGGTCACATCAATAATTGCTCAATCATTTGTAATGACCTACCCATTCTCAAGGCTATATATATGTCCTTAAAGGAATGGGATGAACAACATTCATACGTCTCACCTGATTTTTCCTTGCGCCTATTATTTTGAGAGTGAGAGAAGAAAGAAAGTTATACGCTAAAGTTTCTCATCATTGTAAACATTCTTCTTCTATGAAACCTTTGTTCTAAAAAACTTTCAGATTTTCAAAACTTTAAAATACTTTCCTGACCAGGGTAATGCTTCGTGAAGATTCAAGTCAACCCTTTTGGAAAGAAAAATTTCTTGTAGGACTCCCAACTGTCTTGGGAGAAAAAGTTAGAAATAAAATCAAATAAGTTTTTGGAATTAACCAAATCCCATATAATCAATTAACTTATGACGAATTAGTTAGTTTTACATAAAAGGAAGGTTTAAAAATATGTCAAGATCTAAAACTCCAAAAACACATTAAATGGGAAATGAAAAGAACCAAACAAGAACTTGGATCTTTTTGCAAACAATTTGAGCCACCTACAAATATTTCAAAGGATTGTGGTGGATCCTGCGCTAAGGATCATAAAAAGCCCCACAATTTTTTTTCTCAAGACCAAATAAACAAGATTTTTATAAAAAATCCAAACCTCTTACAAACTATGATAAAGAAAACCTTTTGAAAGAAAATTCAAAACAAATAACTTGTAATAAATGTGGCCGAGAATGGCACGTTTCAAGATTTTGTATACGAAATAAAAAGCTTCATGAGTTAAAAATTGATAACGACATTATCCAAAAAATTGAAGCAATCCTCTAAGAAACCTCAGAAGATGAAGAACATATAGATTCTGAATCAGGAACTTCTGAAAATAATAAACCTTTACAATTTGATGTATTCGGAGCCACAGAGTCTCCTAGGGACTCGAAATTTAGTTTAGAAATCAATAAACGTGTTAACAAAAGACCCAGAGTTAATTAGCGATATAATTAAACAGGTTGAAGATTCAAAACTCCAAAAAGAAACAATAAGAAAACTACAAAAATGCTATACGTACACACCCCCTTACCCCCTTTATATACCATTTTTTTTTTTTTTTTTAAAATTTCCCTCACCAGGTGCGCAGACACCCAAACCCAAACCTCCCGCCTCCCCACGATTTCTGTCTTTCTCTCACGCATCCCCACGCTTCTTCAACTACTCCGACTCTCGACTTCCTTCATCTGCGACAAAACACAGACGGCTCGAGGAGAACAGACCAAGATCGGAACGCGACGGCGAACGGCGAGCTAACCGACGGAAATGACAGAGTAAGTTCTTTGTTTCTTGGGCTGCACAAGCTTGTTTTTTATGTGAGATTTCAGTTGAGTTTGTATGACTTTAGGCTTGTTATTGATGTTTTGGGTGAACAATATGCGTATAACCAGTCAAGTTGTTGCATGTGAATCTTTCATACTCCCTCAGTCCCTAATCTTTCTCCCTTTTCGGCTGGGCACATTTATTAAGATAGTGGGATTTGTGTGGTGGAGAGTTGTGCAGAGGAGAGAGAAATGTGTAAGAATGTGTAAGAATGGTTGTGAACCACAAATTTTTTGCTAAAAGGGGGAAGAGGAGATAATTTTGGGACGGACGAAAAAGGAAAGTTTGAAGATAATTTAGGGACGGAGGGAGTAACATTCTTTGCAAACCAGGTGGTTGTTTGTGGTTGGTTCAGAGTTGTCTGTGGTAGTATTCGGTAGTTGTTTGTGATGTTAATGTGTGTTTGATTATATGATTTGTAGGGCTTTGAAATTGCAAATCCGTGTTAGGGACTACTTCCCAGCTCAGTACTCCGTGGTCACCCAACCATTGTAATTGATTTTGACCCGTGTGTAGGCCCTCTTGATGTCCTTTCTCCATCTCGACATTATGTAGAATTCGGGCAGGAGTTGCCAAGGTTTTGAAAGGCGAAATCGGGCCTCGAGGCGTTCGGGGGTAGCCTTCTGAGGCGTAACGAGGCGTAAGCCCCGAAATTTAATTGCTTAAGTGTATCTACAAGCCTATGACATATTAGAAGGTATAGATAATTCATAACAATAACATATCCAAACAAAATCACAAGTAAAAATATCATAACTACAAAATATTCAAGTCCAAATAATATAAAACTGAAATACCAAAGTCAAAACTCAAAAGAACATAAAACATTAAAATTCTAAGACAAGAAAATAAAAGTTTAGGAGTTTAAGTTTGCAAATTGACAAATTGGAACTATTAATCTTCAAAACTAAGCCTATCGTCCTCTTCATGAGTATCCAAATTAGTAATGTCATTCTCATTGTCATCTCCTTCATTTTCACGGGCCTCATTATCTTCTTTAGTTCCAACTGTAAGGTCCACCCCTACACACATAAAGTCACAAAAATAGAATGAAACAGAATGGAAGTTAAGTGTAAATAAGTATATTGAAGGGACAAAAAAATAAAATATTAAGTTATGAACCTCTGAATTCGTTGTCCATTTCATCAACAACTAATGCAAGTTCATCACGTGCATCCACACTTTCTCCATCATCTGCATTCGGTTCAGCAATCCACTCATCATCAGATGATACATTATCGAAGATCAAATTATCCTCTTTCTTTTGTAATCTGCTCTTCCTAAACTTCAACTTCTTGTTGAACATTATAAATACCAAACTATTCAACTTAATGGCTGAAAGACGATTCCTTCTCTTCGTATGGACTTGATTGAATGTGCTCCAATTTCGTTCACAAGCGGAAGAAGAACACGTCAAGCCAAGAATTTTGACCGCAAAAGCCCGTAGTTCTGGAATATGATCTCCAAATTGATCCCACCATTCCACTAAAAAATGTTAAAGAATTAAAAAAAAAAATCTGTTTTGCAACAATACACAAGTACACTATGTATAAACATTAAAGATATTAAAGATGTAGTTTAATGTTTACCTGGGGGACGTGTTTTATATGAATTTTGAGCCGCCCTCATTCCGAAAAGTCCACGCTTGTATCGATATTCATCCATTTGTGCATCAGCTTGGTTAAAATCACTACTATCAGAAATAAGCCTCTCCATACAAGCATACAAACCTTTCTTAACCTCCACATGAGTAGAGAAGTCATCCTCCCATTTGAATCTTGGATTCAAATAATACGCTGCAGCATGCAAGTCCCGATGTAGTTGGTGCTCCCACTTCTCATCAATTATCTTCCAAATCTCACTATAAGTGGAATATTGATTTCCAAAATTTTCTGCAATTTTTTCTTTTGCAGAATCCATAGCACCGTAGATGAATCCCATTGCAGGCTCATCACCATCAACAATCCTCAAAACTTCAACTAATGGCCTTGATGTTTTTATTGAGTAAGCAACCCTAGGCCAAAACGTTCTGTCATCCATCACAATCATTTTAACCTCCTTCCCCTCAACTAATTTTGCATAACGACTTGAAGTCCACTGTTTAGAAACAAACATTCTTTGCAGGGGCTCTTTTGCGGTGGCCATACAATCTAAAGTCAAGAAAGCAGTAGCAAACCTCGTGGGGCCTGGACGAACTAGGTCTTTCCCGATAAACTTCCTCATAAGCTGCAAAACCCATACACGATTATAGATAAAATTAGTGACCTTCTTAGCTTTGATCAAGACATTTTTGTTCTGTGGCAGCTCTCCAATCTTCTCAAGCATGAGGTCAATACAATGGGCGGCACATGGCGTCCAATACAAGTGCTTCCTCTTCTCCATTAAAAGTCTCCCAGCAGCTTTGTATGCACTTGCATTATCTGTCACGATTTGCACTACCAGACTTTCTCCTATTTCCTCAACTACTCCGTCGAGCAATTCAAAAAGATAAGTTGCATATTTAACTCGATCCGATGCATCAACAGATCTGAGGAAAACATTACCATATTGGTTGTTAACAAGAATGTTAAGAAGCCCTCGGTTTCTTGTGTCGCTCCACCCATATGACATTATCGTAACTCCGGTGTGCGGCCATGTCTTCTTCACTTCTTCCACATATGTGTTCGTGGTATCATATTCCGCTTTAAGGATCCACGTCCGCAACTCATGCATAGATGGGGGTTTAAAGCCTGCACCATAATTACTAACAGAACGCAACATGTTAAAATAAGAAGGACTGCGGGCTACATTAAATGCTATTGCATTTTCAAAGAAAAATCTGCCCACATCTTGACAAACAAGATTGCGTCGCTCTCTCATGGTAGTTTTACTCATTTTGTTAGGCAGAATATCATCTTCTACAACTTCCTGCTCATTTGCTACATCTCTTGAGCTACTGCCTGGACGAGTAACGAAGCGATCAATAGGCCCACGCGGTTGAGGTCCAGTTACTCCAGTTCCAAAGTACGAGCCAGAATCTACCATTTCATCAAAAAACTTCTGGTTAACGTGTTTCTGATCTTGATAGTTCTTCAACATTGCTAGCACATCCTTTTTAACATTTTCGGGAACACTTTTGCATGGCGCCACATTTTTATGTGTTCCCGCAAGGTGCTCTTTAAGTCTCCCCACTCCACTGGTGATCACCTTATTGCAATATTTGCATTTTGCATATACATAACCAGTCTTTCCTGCCGGAGGATTCAATTTAGTTCCATACTGCCAAGCAGGATCCTTATCCTTATTTGAGCTAGACCCCTCTCCCTGATTCTTACTGGGTTTAACCATCGTGAGTAATCAGCCCACTCCTATGAATAAAATGATTTTTTTTACAAGAATTTAAGTAAATTACTCACAATAAATAACTAAATAATTGATAAACAACTTTAAAAAAAAATATAATCAAACTGTATGAACTTAACTATAACATGTCTAATTAAAATTAAATCTTGACTGAAGTAAATTAGTAAACTACTAATTTTATCTTGACTAGTAAATTAGTAAACTAACTAATTTTATCATTGCTTAAATGTTTAAAAGAATATCCCATCTAAACAAAATCAAGTAAAAATAACATAACTATAAAACATCCAAGTCAGAATAACATAAAATTGAAATGCCAAAGTCAAAACTCAAACCAATGCAAACACTAAACTTCCAGGACAAATAAATAAGCTAAATGATAGTTTTATGATCACTTTAATGTTTAAACTGTAGGCCAATAGTACAGTAATAAATTAATAAAATAATAATATTGAATGACAAGTTGACAACCATAATACTTGATAGCATAAGTGCATAACAACTATAGTGAGGCGGTGGAATATTTTATAGTTTGCTGGCTGAAAAAGCATTAAATACGTAGCAGACTATTTACTTCAAACCTGAACTTTTAAATAATTAAAAATTTAAAACAAATTAACTTAAACAATAAATACAACAAGAAACTATAGAAGTATGCTGTACACGGTGGGATATTCTATACAAGTGGTCGTTGGGATATTTTAGTATATTTACTTAATAATACCTGGAAATCTGGAATGAAAGCAACTCTGAAAGATCGAAGTCTACGTACTCAGATTCAAGCCTTCGACTGAGAGAGTTTTTCAAGCCGTTTCTTAATATAGTAGTAGTTGAAGGTAATTAAATAGTTACCTAGGGATGTCGTGTGTTACCTAAGAGATAAACGTGTCGTTTAAAAAAAAAGTCGAGGCCCAATAGTTCAAAAAAAAGAGCCCAAGTTGCGTTTAGTGAAATGCGTACGCCTCAATTACGCCTTGCGCACTGGGATCGCATCACCGCCTCAGCAAAAAAAGGCGTTAGCCTTGTTAGTGGAAGGTGATGCTCAAGCCTTACAGGCGATTTGATAGCGCCTTTGCGCTTTTACGCCTCTGAGGCGTAGGTGCGTTTAGCCTTTTAAAACCATGGGAGTTGCACTTCATTTCTGAGTAGCACTACAATTAAATGCTTACATACAATGCCCCGAAACTCAAACAAGTGACAACTACATACTCCTATATTACTTGATATATCAAACTCAACTGTGAAGTCCGTAGATTTTGCAAACCCATTCACGACCCTATACTCTCTGACCTTATATGTTTTACCATTTTCGCAATGTAGTAGGTACAATACATCTTCCCAGTTACTTCACTCTGAAACTCCTTGAAGTTGGCTAGCGTGTATAGGCCTTGCATTTGTTTTTCCATTGCAAAAACGGTGACACATGGAATCATTTTAGTGAATGAATGAGCATCGGCATGGAACTCTTTTTCCATTTTACACCTCAACGCCCGGCCATATTGCTCCACAAAACTGCTTTAGAGTTGTTTTAGAATTTACATAACCATCAAAGAAGGCGTTAATGCTTTCACTTCATTGCGTGGTAGACATGCCTGCCCAAAATGTTGGCTTCAAGTAACATGGCACCCAGCGATGTCTTTCATTGTACATCACCCCAAGCCATTCATCATTTTTATGTGAAAACCTATGTCAACAAACAATTTATACAATGAACAGACAATTGATGATGTATTGCACAAACAAATGTTTTATATTTAACAGACAATGTAGACAATACACAGACAGTGTATCATACAAACCACAGACAAAAGTGTACAGATAAGTACCTTTCTACCATAGCTGTCCAGCCATCTTCAAACTCAGAATCGTGTTGTGAGTCATACACTAGGTCATGTATATTGTACATTATAAGATCTTTATCTGCCAAACCTCCCATTTTTTCTGGGAGCTTCTTCATGATATGCCATAAACACCAACGGTGTCTCGTATTTGGGAACACAATTTGAATTGCATTTTGCATAGCATGGTCTTGGTCTGTTATAATCCCCTTCGGCGCACACCCATGCATACAATCAAGCCACGCTTTAAAGATCCATACAAAAGTTTGTGTATCTTCATTTGAGATTAATCCACAACCAAGCAACATTGATTGCCCATGATGATTAACGCCCACAAAGGGAGCAAATGGCATGTCATACCGATTTGTAAGGTATGTTGTGTCAAAAGTGATGACATCGCCGAAATCTTTATAAGCATACCTACAACGGTTGTCGGCCCAGAAAACATTCCTCAACCGTGGCTCCTCATCTAAGTCAACGGTAAAGAAAAAACCAGGGCATTGAGCTTGCATTTTACCAAAAAAATGTTGGATAGCCATTGCATCACCACTTCCTAGCCTAAGTTGGCGCACTTTGTCTACGTAGTTATGACAATCCTTTTCGATAAATGAAAGCTCGTCATATCCACCCGCTTCAACAACGGCCGAGTTGAAGCTTTTATGAAGTGGTATCTCCGCAACATCATTAATTTCTAGTTTTCTCTTCATTTGTTCTGTCACCTTCCTATTGCATCGAAATTTTCTAGACTTTGTCGGACTCATAGGATGGTTATGTTGCAGTTGCACTTTAGATATTTCCCAAGAACCAACATAAGTTGTTCGTGCTCTTAGGCGAGCTAAGCAATCCAATTGCATTGAAGGTTTTGGTTTCAAAGCATTTTGTCCCGTGCTACATCTACTTCCCGCACTTGAACACTCAAATACAACTGCCACTACATTTTCTCCACTTTTGTCCTTGATAGAACTTCTTTTGCGTACCCGAAATCCTAAACTCCTACCATATTTCTTGTAAAATTCAAATACCGCTTCTATTGTATCAAACTTCATCCCAACTTCAGGTGCTTGTACACACCCAACATGTCATGAAGCATGTCCACCTAAATATGTTATTAATGACATGTCAACGAAAATGTTTCCATTCAGACAATAAAAGGGTCCATTCAGACAATACAATGCACATACAAACATGATGATGTTAAAACAAACAGTATTGTGTCTGTCCATACAGACATGCTGATTTTTAAAGATGCCATGTTGAAGTTCAATATAAGTCATTTGTCTGTTTAATATGCTTTATTGAAGTTAAAATTTTGTCTGTGCACAGGGACTGCATGTAGTGATTGTATGTGTTTCAAAAAAAACTTGTACAATACACATTACAAACTCATTTCAATCAAATACAACAACGATGGGTAGTAAACAACTACCTTGCTCATCAAGGACGTCTGTATACTCTTGGTTGTATTCTTCTCCATCGCCGGCCACCGGTGCGTCACTACCCACTAAGCCGTCAACGGGACTTTCTTCCTCCGTCGCCAATGAAATATGGACATCACTTGATTCACACACGTTTGAAGCATCCAACTCCATTGAAGGTGAAGCCCGTCACCCACTTTCCGTTGGTTAGCTCGCCGTTCGCTGTCTGCGTTTGGGGGAGTGTCCCCGTCGCCGTCGCGTTCCGATCTTGGTCTGTTCCCCTCGAGCCGTCTGTGTTTTGTCGCAGATGAAGGAAGTCGAGAGTCGGAGTAGTTGAAGAAGCGTGGGGACGCGGGAGAGAAAGACAGAAATCGTGGGGAGACTGGAGGTTTGGGTTTGGGTGTCTGCGCACGTGGTGAGGTAAATTTTTTTAAAAAAATTGAAATGGTATATAAAGGGGGTAAGGGTGTGTGTAAGGGGGTGTGTACGTATAACATTTTTGGGAAAACTATTACACACTTTCAAAGACTACCTATGATTTGACAAAAATCCTTGGCACAAAAAACAAGATCTCAAACATCGGGAAGAAGAAGATATTAGGATGACAATCCACTCTCTTCAAGAAGATATTAGGATTATAATTTATAAAAGAAGAACTAAAAACTCTTAAACAGAAACAAAAAAATTGATTCAATTAATCTGCAAATCCTTCTTTTTCAGGTACATCAAAGTTCTTCAAACTCCCAACACGGGGATATTGAAGAAAATAAAATTGAAAATTTAGAAACAATTCCAAATGATTTCTTGTTTGTTTTAAGGTCCCTAACAACGAGAATATATCTAATAAAAATCACTTGGTTTTTTCTGAAGATTTCAAAATTGAAACAATTGCATTTGTTTTATACTTGAGTAGATATCAACTGCTTAAAAAGTTGTATCGTAGCAAACAAGTTTCTACACAAAACTAGCGAAAAACTGGTTGCAACTAACAACACGAACATGTTTAGAAACTAGCGAACAAGTTTCTACAACACTAACTACTACTACTACTACTACTATTACTCCTCCTCCTCCTCCTCCTACTACTACTACTACTACTACTACTACTATTACTACTACTACGTCCCTTAAAACTATTCAAACTTTCCTTTTTTGGATGACCCACTAACTTTGATACTTTCCCTTTTAAGTAAAGAATTTGTGGTTCCGGTTAATTCTCTATCCTCTCAATCACACAGTTTTCACTTTATTAATCTACGTGTCGGTCAAACTTGACAAAATTTTAAGGGATGGAGGGAGTAAAACGGAAGCCTCCATTAAATATGGAAAAATCTCAATCAAAATCCCTTTTGTCCTACTAGAGGATATTAATCACAGCGTCATTTTAGGGACTCCTTTCATTAATATGATTACTGCATACTCTGTGAATTACAATAGCATATCTTTTAAAACCAAGAAAGAATTTTTTTTTTTTTCCCTTTCATTGAAAAACCCAGGACAAAAAACTTAAACCTCCTAAAAGCATGTTCCATTTACAAAAATGAGTTAAATTGCATGCTTTATGCAAAACAAAAGCAATTATTCTTTCTCAAACAAGACATTTCTTTCCTACGAATCGAAGAACAATTACAAAAAGGTTTCGTAAAAAAAATTCAGAAATGCTAAACAAAATAGAAAAAGAGATTTGTTCTGAATTACCAAATGCTTTTAGGGATAGAAAGCAACATATGGTACATTTACCATATGAAAATGATTTCTTTGACAAACAAATACCTAGAAAAGAAAGACCCATCCAAATGAATCATGAAAACGAAGAACATTGTAAAATCCAGGTCTCCGTGGAGTTGTGCAGCTTTCTATGTCAACAAAAATTCTGAAATTGAAAGAGGAACACCAAGACTTGTAATTAATTACAAGCCCTGAATAATGCTCTCAAATGGATCCATTTCTGATCCCAAATAAACAAGACTTTCTACAAAAACTTCACTCTGCTTTTGTATTTTCAGAATTTGATATGAAATCCGGATTTTGGCAAATTCAAATTAACCCGAAAGATTAGTACAAAACAGCGTTTACTATTCCCTTTGGTCAGTTATGCCATTTGGATTAAAAGATGCCCCTTCAGAATTCCAGAGTATTATGAATGAAATTTTTAATCCATTCTATTAAACATGTTTCATCCAACAATCATAGTATATAATAGAATAGAGATGAAGAGAACACCGATTCATTACCGATAAAAATTTGGAACTACATAGTCAGTAAGAAACGGTCGTTGCTCTCTCCCTAAATAGGGATAGAGCAGCCTAGAAGCTCTAGGGTACATCGTGGATGCCTCTATTCACTCGAGGGTTTCTGCCTATTCCTCCAAACTTTATAGATCTAAGGAATAGGCCCATTACAAAATAGTCATCTAAGAGACATATGTGTCTTAATCATTATTAGGTGGCCCATTGTCTATTAATTAGACTAAATACAATATAAATAAACAAGAAAGAAGGGTCAAATAAGCCTTTTACAATTAGAGAATGATCACATAACCTGATAACCCCATATATTAAAAAAACAATCACATACATCCATGTACTCTTAAAAAACAAGCATTTGAACCAAATTACTCAAACGTAACCTTTTATAGCTGGTTACAAGTTAGACGTCCCTTCTTTGTTTTTTCCGTAGGGTGTGTTTGGAAGTTGGGTTTTGGAGGGGAGGAGAAGGTTAATGAGGGTTTATGATCCTTCTTTTCATGTTTGGGAGTTCAAAAAATTGGAGGGGATGGTTTTGGAAGGCTTTTGTAACCCTTCAAAACCCTTCAAATGCCTAATTTTTAATTTCCCTCAATTTGGATGGTTTTGGAGGGTAATTAACAAAATGACAATTTAAGCTAAATTAAAAATGAATATAAGCTCAATGATTTGAATTCATCATATCTCAAAGTGATTTTAATTATAATTTCATCAAAAACCTCCCCCTTTCAATTTTGTTACTCCAAAATACAAAGAAGAGCTTCCTCATCCTCCCCTCTCTTTCCCCTCCAACAACATACCTCCAAAGCTCTCCCCTACCCTTCCTTCCAAACTCTCAAACATACCCTTAGTTTTTCTTGTTTCTTTTTTTGTCATTTCTTCGTTACCAACCCAACTCCATCAGTTTCCCCTCTCGCAGAGTTGGAGGTTTAAGGAGTTCCACCATCACCGATTCAGAGGCCAAGACCGAGATACCCGGTCTCTCCAACCGACGAGCCGTGAATTTCCCAGAGTTGCCGCGAGTCCAGTAGATTTTTTTGTGAGGTGTCTGCTCTGAAAAATGGCCGCCGCTCCTGCTCCGAAAGTTAACGATCCATTTTTAATGGAGCCATGGAGGACCAATGTTCAATGGGATAAGTTATTGTTATAGAATGTTGCAACTTGTTCTACGCCGTTTGAAGAGAGGCATGTGAGGGCGGGTCCTGTCCCAATTTCTGGGGTGGGGTACATTATTTTGGGCTTATATCCTACAAACAGTGAACCATATTTAGACAATGAACTTCATAAAATAAAGATGAGAATCACTTTATTATTATATAAGTTACATATTTGAGCTAAAGTAACAACACGAGTATCGAATAAAAAGAAAAAAAATTACTTAAAAACGTTTCTCGTAAACCAATGCGAAGCAAATCATTAATAATTGCTTCATAGGCAATTAATAAATATGACAAACAATAAAATTGACATATATAACAACATTAAACTTTCTTTTGAAAAGATAAATGAATAGAAATATTACCACATATTGAATTCATAAGTTGAGAATAATTTTTTGACCGCCGATGAGAGTCTAAAGTTTGAAGTCTCGAAAGAATGAAGGTTTTCAAAGAGACAAAATGTTTGGCTACCAAGAGGACTCACGCAAGAAGATGCAAATTTGATGTTCTCTAAAACTACTATTAGAAACTCAGATATAGCTTATTGAAATTTGAAAACAAATGAATAGTCGGGGTTAAATTTGAGAGAAACGGGTTCTAAAATAATTATATAAATTTGTTATGTCATAATTAAATTGAATAAAAAATCTTAAAAGCTAAAAAGATGCGAGGACTAGAGATACATGTCTTTTATTTATGCAGTAACAATTATATTGCTTTTAAAACTACAATTAATCCTGCTAAAAATCAATGTATATATTCTGTTTTAAACTTGTCTATGTTTAAGACTCTTTATTTATGTTTTAAATTTTCAAAGTGTCAACAAAATTAATCATTAGGCCTAATTTATTGAACTTAAGAATAAAAAAGAAACCTACTCACACTATATATAAAGAACAAATTTTGGACCTATTTTTTTCTTCTATTTTTTCCGGGTCTAGGGCGGTAACCCCTCTTGCCCCCTCATAACCGACCCTGGCATCTGGTCTTGCCAATGTTCAATGAGAAATATTCCGCCATTAATTTAAAGAGACGTCCCTGGTCTCCATTATACTCCATATTAGAGAGATAAATTAATGAAAGAAATGCAAAAAAAAAACAGAAATTACATTATATTAGAGAGATAAATTAATGAAAGAATGCAAAAAAAAAAAACAGAAACTACATTATATTCCTATTCAACTATAACAGTCTTAAATATATATTTTGGACTGTTTTATAATTCTGGGCCTATTGGACTGTTTACTTATTATAAGCCTGTTAGACCATTAGTATAAATATGATTCCAACTCTGTAATAGGTTAAAGTTTTTCATTATTCTTCTTCTCCGCAATCTATCTTCATAGATTACGATTTTGCTTTCTCTGTAAACGATTGTTCTTGCTTCCAATATACAAATTTCAATTTCTATTAGAATTCACATGGTATCAGATTAAGGTTTAGATCCTTACTGATTTAATCGATTCAATCGATCTTCTTCCTAATCGATTTCTACAATCGATTCGTATTTTTTTTCTCTTCTCTCGTTTGCCTCTTCCGCAAACCCTAGATTCGATGGCACAACAGATAAATCCCATTGACGATTCATCTTCGCCTTACTACCTTCATCCGAGCGATCATGCGGGGCTTCGCATCATCTACGAAACCTTCACTGGCGAGAACTTTGGCGTTTGGAAGAAATCG